TTACGTCAAAGAAAGGGAAGACGGAGCGAAGGAAAGGACAAAGGCGGAGGGAGGAGGATGGGGCATGAGAGAGAGAGAGAGAAAACAAAAAAAAAGTAGTAACAAGAAGAGGGGCTGGGAACATAACGCGTCTTTCAGAAACAGACGGGCAGACCGGGCGGGTAGACCCTAACAACCGAATCGGGAAGTCGGTCCCAGGCGGCTGGGTCGAGTAGGCGGGTTGCTAAAGCGCGCGTCCTGCATGCATCTCGAGGAAGTCTCATGCGATAGCGCGTTTCCCGAGTAACTCGTCTGATAAACCAAAGCGAGAGCGCGATTCCTGAGTGTCGAGGGCGCGGCGTCTAAATTAATTGCAAGGAAATACCACCCCAGAGCGCGACGTTTGCGTGCACCGCAAAGAATTCCCGCGCGAGAGCGCCATTTAGGCATGCGTCGCGAAGAAATATCAGGCGGGAGCTGTTGATGATGTCGTAAACAAGGGGGCCAAGTGCGCAATTCTGAAGCCCAAGACCTCCCGTGGTAATACTAATAATGATAATATAAAACACCGGGTGCGAGTCGCAGGAAGGGTACTCCAGCTGACAAAAAAATCACAACGGGTCCACATTTACTGTTCTTCGCTAGTGAGAATTCAACGACGACAACGACAACGACAACAACCAGTTTACCATCATGCGCCATGCTTCCACGTGCCACACGCACCCTTCTGGATGCTACGCCCCATCGCGGGGGATTGCTCTGGCATGCGGGGTCCGACGTTCCCTCGCCCAAATCGCCCGCCCAAGAAAGTATCGCCACCACCTCTCCCGAGGAAATTCGACGTCCACAGCTCGGGCGGCACGTCGCCACCGCAATCGCCTTGCGCGCGCCCCGCATCTCGAAGGAGAAAGAATGAGGACGAGGAGGGGAGGGAATATGAGGGAGAGGAAGAGGGAGAAGAGGAGAAGGACGACGGAGGAGGAGGAGGAGGGGGAGGAAGGAGGAGTAGTTGCAGTAGCAGTACCTCCGAGGACGCGATGTTGTTTTACTCCTCGTTGGAACTGTTACGCCACCGCCCTGCGGCCCCAGCGCGTGACCCTTAACATTCACGCCAACAGGCGCTGCCGCTCCAATGCTCGCATCCACCACCTGCCCCTGGAAATCATCCGTCATCCTTCTTCTCCTCCTCCTCTACATTATCCATGCTCTCCAGAAATTATAGTTATTTCAATAATTCAGGTTCAACAGAGATTCTTGGAAGCCCCTCAGAGGCGATGCCGAAACGATGACCCCAATCTTGAGTGAAATGTGAGGAAATAACAAACGGGAGCGACGAGGAAAGACGGAAGGGGAAGGGAAGAGGGACAAGGGAGACAGGAGGAGGGAGGAGACAAAGGGAACGAAAAGGGAAAGGAGGAGGGAGGAGGAGGGAGGAAAGAGGGACGGGAAAGGGAGGAGGGAGGAAGGGAAAGAGGAAGGGGGTGGAGGGAGGAAGAGGGATGAAGAAAGGGAGAAGGAGGGAGGAGGAGGAGGAGGAGGAGGAGGAGGAGGACGAAGAGGAGGATGAGGAGGAGGAGGAGGAGGTGGAGGAAAAGGAAGAGGAGGAGGAAAAGGAGGAGGAGGACAAGGAGGAGGAGGAGAGGGAGGAGAAGGGGGGAGGGAGCAGGAGGGAGGAACGAAAGACGGAGGATGGAGGTGGGAGGAGGGAGAAGAGGAGGGGGTGGAGGCAGGAAGAGGGAGGAAGAGGAGCGAGGGGGGAGGAGGGAGGAGGGAGGAGGAGGAGGAGAAGGAGGAGGAGGAGAAGGAGGATGAGGAGGGGGAAGAGGAGGGGGAAGAGGAGGAGGAGGAGGAGGAGGAGGAGGAGGAGGAGGAGAAAAGAGCGCCAGTCCAGCGTAAAACGGGAAATCTTAGGCGGGAGCGCTGGTTTTGTCGGGACGGGGGCCGTCGGCGGCGAGCAAGAGCACCGCCTTCAGTAAAAAAGGGAGGAAGTCTCGAACGGGATCGTTGTTGCTGCTGGGGGGCGGCGCCGATGAGAGAAAGAGTAGCGCGCCTCTCCAAGGTAAAACGGGCGGAAGTCTCGAGTGGGAGCGCTGGTGTTGCTGAGACGGCTGCTTTTGGCGGCGAGCAAGAGCACCGGCCTTGAGCAAAAAAGGAAGCAGTCTCGAACCGAAGCGTTGTTGTTGTTGCTGTTGTTGTTGTTATTGTTATTGTTATTGTTGTTGTTGTTGATGTTGATGTTGTTGTTGTTGTTGGTGTTGTTGTTGTTGTTGTTGTTGTTGTTGTTGTTGTTGTTGTTGTTGTTGTTGTTGTTGTTGGGGGGGGGCCGTTTTGGCGGCCCCCCAAACCGCTTGAGACTGAGTCCCATTTCCAATTAAAATGCAGCCGGCGCCTCGGCGAGAGCGCCAGGGCGCATATAAGGGGTCCAACAACAATAATTGTTTAGTAGTTAACACTCAACAGCAACAACAACACCAACAACAACAATAATCATTTTAAGACTGTTCGCCCTTCTCTGCTCAAGTGTCCAATAACGCGTATTCCCCAAACCTTTGATACCCGCCCTCTTCGTCTTCGATCGAACCCCTTTTGGGGGGTATACTTTCTTCCCTGCAGGCCGGGCCCCGGCAAGCGGCGGGGCGGCCGCGGACCGTCGGCCTGGCCAGCGGCACCGCTGATCGGCGGGGCGGCCGCGGACCGTCGACCCGACCCCAAGAGGGACGGACAGGGGACCGACCACGACGACGACGACGTCGACGACGACGGCGACGACGACGGCGACGACGAGCGAAAGCGAGAGCGAGAGAGATCGACAGCAGGGCCACGAAGGACACGAAGTAGGCCACGAAGGACGACAGCGGGGACACGAAGGTAATGCGTATGGGGCCACGAAGAGCGCGAACGAGCGGGGGCCACGAAGGGCAGATAATGCGAGGCCACAGAAGGCATCGATGGGGCCACTGAGGGTAGCAACTGGGCCACGTAGGACAGTGAGGGGGCCACAAACGGCGACAGCGGTGCCACGAAGGACATGCACATTGGGCCACAACGGGCGCGACTCCTGGGTGCCTGGGTGTCGGGAGCGCGGCGCTTGAGCAAATTGCAAGAAATACCCACGCAAAGGCGCTATTCTGGAGTAAATTGCAAGCAAGTCTCCAGCGAGAGCGCGACTCCAGAGCGCCGGCATAGCGATTCCTGAATAAATGGTAAGGAAGTCCCAAGCAAGAGCACGATTACTGAATCAAATGCGAGGAAATCTTAGGCGGGAGCGGGGGTCCTGGCTAAACTGTGAGGAAGTCTCAGGCGGGAGCCGTTGTTGTTGTAACCCAAGAGCCAGGGGCGTAGTTTGACCATCAAGGATTTCCCTGACAAAAACAGGGTGCGAGCGTCGAGGGGCACACTTTGATTGAGAAGAACGGCATGCACGGGTGAGGGGGGATCAACAATACTTGTTCTGCAGAAGCGAGAGCTCAACAACAACAACAACAACAACAACAACAACAACAACAACAACAACAACAACAACAACAACAACAACGTCAACGATCACAGCAACAACCGTGTTAAGACTGTTCCCTCCTACCTGCTCGCGTGCCACTCAACTTTCATATCCCAACCCGTCGGTACCCGTCGATCGAACCCCCTGGGGGTAGATCTTCCTCACATGACACGTGAATTTACCGCAGCCCCTAAAACAAGGGAGAGAAGGACGGATGGAAGGGGAGCTATAAGTAAAAAGCAAGTGCGTGGAATAACTAGACAAGCAATTCGGGCGGGCAGATTCTAGAAGACGGGTCGGAAGGCGGGCCTGGGCGGCCAGGTCGAGCAGGCGGGCTGGTAAAGCGTGAGTCCTGCATTAATCACGAGGAGGTTTCGAGCGATAGCGCTCTTCCACCATAAATCGTGAGAAAAGCAATAGCGAGAGCGTGTTTCCTGAATGTCGAAGGCGCGGCGTCTGAATACAGTGCGAGGCAATACCACGCGAGAGCGCGACTCCAGTATAAATTGTCAGGAGGCCCCTCGCGAGAGCACGATTTTGGAATACACGGTGAGGAAACATCAAGCGCGAGCCGCTGTTGATGCACACCAGAGGCCAACGACATAGTTTGATGGCACGACACTTTCCTGATATACTACCGGGTGCAAGCCTGGAGGAGCACTCGAATTACAACAAAACAATGGTCACTGGAAGGGGGATCCATAATCCATCGTAAGAAAAACACTGTTTAACAGTTCCCATCGCGATCTTGCGCGGGATGTTCGTTCCAAATTATCCAGGGATCGCGCTCTCGCGTGGCAATTCCTTGACATGTATTCGAACGCCGCAAACCCCAACATTCAATAATCACGCTCTTCGTCACGATTTACTTGGGAATCGCGCTATCGCTCGAGACTTCCTCGCGGTTCATGCAGGACTCACGCCTCAAGAACCCGCCTGCTCGACCCAACCGCCTGAGCCCGTCTTCCCGATCCGCCGTTTAGGGCCTTCCTGTCCGATATGCCCGTTTAGTTTTTGTTTGCGTACTTTCTGATCCTAGCCTCCGTCCCTCTCATTCCTCTCCTACTCCATCCTTCTCCCTCGCCCGTGTCTCCTCCCTTCCACCCGTCCTCCCTCCCCTGTTTTGGGGGCTGCGCCAGATACACGTGGCAGGTCGGGAAAATATACTCACAAGGGAGCCACGATCAAAGACAAAAAGGCGGGCATCGAGGGTCTGGAGCAGACGTGCCGAATGCCACTCGGACAGATAACAGCGAACAAAACTTAAAACATTGTTGTTTTGTCGTCGTCATCACCCGCGACCCACCAGCGATCCACCCGCGACCCATCCCGCGACCCACCCAGCGACCCACCCCGCGAACCTCCCCACGACCCACCCCGCGCCCGCCCCCCCACTCTCATCCGCAACTGCGGGGTGCTACGCGTCGTTGGAGATGGGATGGCGGCCGCGACCACGGCGGCGGCGGCGACGATGGCGGCGACGGCGGCGGCGGGCCGATGGCCCGGGGCGTGGCGGGCGCGGCGCCCTCTCGGGCCCTGCGCGGGCTTGGCGTAGGACGTCGACAGCTTGGACGTCAGCAGGAACCTGGCAGGCCGTCGTCGTTGTCGTCATCGACGTCGCCGCCGCCGCCGCTGTCGCCGTCGCCACCGTCGCCGCTGTCGTCGTCGCCGTCGCCGTCGCCGTCGCCGTCGCCGTCGCCGTCGCCGTCGCCGTCACCGTCGCCGTCGCCGTCGCCGTCTTCCTCGTCATTGTCGTCATTGTCGTCATTGTCGTCGTCATTGCCGTCGTCGTCATCGCCGTCGTCGTCATTGTCGTCGTCAGTGTCGTCGTCGTTGTCGTCGTCTTCCTCGTCATTGTCGTCGTCATTGTCGTCGTCGTCATCGCCGTCGTGGTCATTGTCGTCGATATTGTCGTTGTCGTCGTTGTTGTTGTCGTCGTCATCGTCATCGCCGTCGTCATTGTCGCCATTGTGGTCGTCATCGATGTCGTCGTCGTCGTCATTGTCGCCGTCATTGTCGTCAACGTCATCGGTGGTCGTCGCCGTCGTCTTCGTCGTCGTCGTTGTCGTCACCGTCCTCCGTCATCGTCGTCGCGGTGCCAGGCGAAACACGTATGTATCCGTATCCGCGGCCTCGCGGGTCGGGTCCCTGGGCCAAGACCTCGCCGATGTGGGGCGTTCTTTTCGCTGATGGCCCGCGAGGAACGTATCCGTGCGACCGCGTCTCCGCGGAGCCGCGCTTGGTAAGACAGACCGCGAGGGCACGGTACGGACATGCTCCCGCTCGCGACAAAATGAACTGAACATCCACACAGCAGGCACCCACTTGGCCTGCGGCGAGCTGGGTCCACCCAGCGGCCGGACAAAGAACGGCGGGACGCGTCCGTCAAAGAAGGGAGGACGAAGCGGCCGCGGAACGGCCAGGGAACCCTCACGAAATTGGCACAAGCGGTAGGGCATCTTGCTCTGAGAAAGATTGTTTCCGGCGGCCCCCGAGGAAGGCGGGCCGTCGGCTCCAACGGCCCAGTGTGAAATCTATCCACTCAGGCACCGGCTTTCATCGAGCCAGGCATTCGGACTGTCTGCCTGGAGGAGGGTTGGGCGCGGGCCAGCCAAAAAGTGAAACGAAATGGAACGGGCAGACAATATTACACACGATGTGGTGGCACAAAGGCATCAAGCCACGCTGTCACTGGAATCATGCACCCAGCTCACGTTGCCATTCGACCAAGGGGCTTCCTTCCCTATCTCCCTCTCAGCCCAGCTCTCTCGGTCGGCGCACAAAGAGCGAGCTGATACATAACTAGAAACACGCGCGCTTCGCGCGCGCAAGAACCTCGCATCGCAAATTGCCAGGGAGGAATGTAAGGGCGATTATGGAGTTCCCTCGGGGGTGGTAGTAAAACCTGCTCCAATGAGGTTGTGGGATCCAGGCAGCAAGTGGGGGAATATGTTTCTGGTGTGCGTTCCTGACTGTACTGTGTCGCGAGGGCGCTTCTCCGTAAATCAATGTGACGCATAACGTACAATAGCAACTGGCATATCATTGTGCACTATGACAACGGAAGTCGGCATGGTCACAGAAAGTAGTTCGCGGGCACGCCGACAATGGCCAACTGACCGCAGATCAAGACGACCAGACACTTTGATTGGCCTCTTTGTTGTTCCTTCGTTGCTCGCGAGAAATTGCCCCTCGTCTGCGCGCGCAGAAATAAATCACCCCCGTGTGTACGTCCACTCGTCCACGTGGGTAAGCGTCACCCCTCCTGGCGTCGGCAGGCTGCCCCTGTGCGGTCTGTGCTCAGTCAGACCCGTCGGGAAAGGCCAGCCTATTCGCTTGCGGTCTCAGCGCTCGCCACGCAGACTGCAGAGCGCTTTTGAAGCTACATTCTCGCTTGCGAAGCGCAGGCTGCACAGCGGAGCAGCACATTCAATTTCCCAGGGGGGGGGGAATTTGTCATTGTGCGCCAGAGGCCAGGGGGGCCCACACTCCGACAATATCTGGGCACATGTACACAAACAGGTTGTCGGGCCTCTTGGGGGCTTCTTGGGGGCCTCTCGCCGCTTCCTGGGGACCTCTCTCGTGGCCGAGGGCCCGAAATGTCCGTTCGGGGCCTCAGTCTGGACCCTCTCTGGAATCGTTTTGGGGGCCTCTGGGGCCGTCTTGGAGGCCTCTTGAGCCGTCTTGGCAAGAGCCCTCTCGGGGGCGTCTTGGAGCTCTCTCGGGGCGTCTTGGGGCGTTCTTGGGAGCCTCTTGGGTAATCTTGGCGCGTCCTTGGAGGCGTCTCGGGCCGCCTTGGAGCGTTGAGACGCCGAAAAAGCGAGAAAACCAAACTCCTTCAAAAACAATCGATGCATGATCAAATTTTGCCTCTTGGGGAACCTCGTAGAGGTCTCTTAGGGCGTTTAAGAAGCCTCTTGAACAGTCTGGGGTCAATTCTGAACAATCTGGTGCTGTCATGGGCCGTTTGGGCGTTCTCGAAGCGCGCCTTCAAGCGATCAGGGGCCATTTCCAGGCGATCTTGGAGGGCATCCAGCGCGCCGGCAGGGCCCCGGGCAGCCCGGACCACACATTTGTAGTCGAGGTCCCGGCCGGGGGCCGTATATGTGTGTTTGTGTACAAACCACGCAGCCTTGTGATCGCCCCGCCCGATTCGCAAGTCTCACTGCTCGCTGGGTGCACAAACTGCCGCAGATCCCCTCGCCATCCCTGTCCCGTACCACCCGCCACCACAGCGCTGCGGCCATCAACACGACATGCTCGCCTTGAAAATCCGCCGATCCGGCGTGTGAGGTTACAACAGCTACAGCCTGAGCTTCAGCTCTACTGGGGGGGGGCTAGGGGGGCTTTACAGGAGAAGGGAGGGAGGAGGGGAGGGGGGGGGTCTACACTTGCAGCCCTCGAAAGTGGCGACAGTTTCGCAGATCGCAGCCCCCCAGACAAGGCAAGAGGAGACAAGAAGGAGGAGGGGCGGGAGGCGGGAGGCAGGAGGCGGGAGGCGGGAGAAGGACGCGCGAGCAGTACTCTATTCAAAGCGAATACTGAACCAAGGAGGGTTGGGAAAAAGCCTTACGAACAGCAACGGATCTGACCTCTCCAGGCCTTCCTCGGGTTCCGTTGGGGCCCTGTTGGGCAGTCTGGCGACTCTTGTGGACCTTCTTGGGGCTGGGCTGAGGCCGTCTTGAGACCATCCTGCTGCGTCCCTCTTGTGGCCCACCTATGGCCCCCTTGGGGCCCTCTTGGGGATCTTTTGAGGCACTCTGGTGCCCCTCTTGGGCCGTCTTAGGACTCTCGTGGGCCATCTTGGGGCCCTCTTGAGCCTTCTGGGGGATTTCTAGCCGTTTCGGCTGTCATGAGAAGATGTTCGGGGCCTAGTGGGCCTTGTGGACGCTGTCCAAATCCGAAAACGAATCTGCTACAAAAGCATCTTTCTCGAACGGAATTTGATGTGTTCTTGCATCTTAAGGATTATCCCTGCTCTTTGGGGATGCCCATGCGGCCAAGCGTTGGGCCGAAGTCTGGCCAAGCTATCGGACGATGTGCTCCCTCAGGGGAGGACCCCTCAGGGGAACACTGAGGCGAGGCAGGGAAAGGAGGAGGAGGAGGAGAAGGAGAGGGAGGAGGAGGAGGAGGAGGAGGAGGAGGAGGAGGAGGAGGAGGAGAAGGAGGAGGAGGAGGAGGAGGAGGAGGAGGAGGAGGAGGAGCAGGAGGAGCAGGAGGAGCAGGAGGAGGAAGAAGGGAAAGCATATTGGCGCCCTCTTGAGGCCTCCTGGGGGCTTCCTGGGAGCCCTTTGGGGGGCTCCAAGGAGCCTCTTGGGGGCCTCCAGAAGCCTCTCGGGAGCCTCCTGGGGCCTCTTGGGGATCTCTAGGGGCCTCTGGTGGCCATTATGGGATCTCTTGGCATCCAGAGGACGTCTTGGGGCCCGCTGTAGGGCCGTCTGGGAGATCTCTGGGGCAGTCTTGGGGCCGTTTTGGAGCATATTGGGCTGGTGGGACCCTCTCGCGGGCCTCCTGGGGGCCTCTTGGGCTGTCTTGGGGCGATATTTGGGCCTATGGGCCCGGCTTGCTGAAATAATTGAAGAACATAAACAATCAAATATCCAGACTTTGGACTCCTGGAGATCCTCTTGGAGCCTTCTTGGGGTGTCCAAGGGGCTTGTTGGCGTTCAGAGGCCGTCTTGAGCCATCCCCGGGCAATCGTGGGTCTCTCTTTGGGCGGTTTAGAATCGTCTTGAAAGTCTCTGGAGCCGTCCTGGGACCGTCCTAGGGGCCTCTTGGGTTGTCTTGGGCTTAGGGCCATCTTGGGCCCTCTTGCGGGCCTCTTGGCCGTCTTCGGGCGATCTTGGGGGGCCTATGGGCCCGTCCTGGAGCGGCGGAAACCCGAGAAGGCTAGAGGACTACGACCATTGAAGAACCTAAGAAGATAATCCAGAGGCCTCCTGGAACTCCTCTTGGAGCCCTCCTGGGGCGTCTGAGGGGCCCCTTAGGCCGTCGGGGGGACATCTTGGGACGTTTTGGGGCCCTCCTCCTCTTGGAAGCTCGCCCGAAGCCGCAACTGTAATGTGTGGCCGTCTTTCGCCGTCTTCCGCCATCTTCTGCCTTGCTCCCGCCAGGGTCTGGGCCAGATTTCGATGGGTACCTACCCACACACCCCTCAGGTCGGGGAAACCTGATCTTGCCACGATCCCCGACCTTGAAATGCATGTGTGAGAATGGCAGGGGCAAGGAAGGATCTGCCTCTTGGGGGCTTGATTTGATGACGACTGGGAAAAGTTCCGACGACGTGTGTGTGTGTGTGTGAGTAGTGTTAATCCTGGGGGCTTGTTGGAGTGTCTTGGAGGCTCGTGTGCTCTGTGGGGGACCCGTTGGGGTTCCAGTCGCCTCGCGGGCTGTGGGTTCGGGACGCGCAGAGTATGCGCGTTGTAAGGTCTTGCTGGGCCCTCTGAGGAGCACCTGGTAGTTTTTCGGGTGCATTCCGGGGCCTCTTGTGGGCGTCTGTGGGTGTTCTCGGGGCCTCTGCAAAACTCCTGGGCCGTGTCTGGGTTCTCTCCCGCCGACTGGCACCTTCGGAGGCTGTGCTGGTGGTGGCTCCGGGTTGTCTTCGGGCCCTCCGGGGGCCTTTTGCGCACGTCATGGGGGTTTCCTCGGCCGTGTTTGGGCGGATTTGTAGGGCTCTTGATTTTTGCGGTTCTGTTGGGCGTCTTGGGATCCTTTAACGATCGTTTTGGGCGGCTACAGTTCTCTTGACCGCTGAGCGCTCGCGGGCAAGACTTGCAAGACTCAATGGAGAACGCACGGGAGGGGACGCAAACAGGGCGGCGCAATGCGGTTCCCGTGTTGTCCGCTTCCCACTGGAGGCCTATTCGAAGCTTCCTGAGGAGGTGCAGGACACGGTGGGAGGAGACGGACCGAGACAGCTCGGAAGCGAGACTGTGGAGGAGAGAAGAAGAGGAGGCTTCCTGGAGCCTCTTTGGGGCTTCTTGGAGCCTCTGGGGGGCCTCTTGGGAACCTCCTGAAACTTCCTGGAGCCTGACGGGGGGCGGAAAGCTAGAAATGTTGGTCCGTGCTTCGCCTCTGGAGCCCTTCTTGGGGTGTTCCTGGGACCCTCTCGGGCCGTCTTGGAAGCCTCTTGGGCTGTCTTGGGGCCCTTTCAAGGGCCTATGCGGCCGTCTTGGGGCGATCCGTGGGGCCTCTGGGGCCGTCCTGGGGAGTCGGGAAGCCGAAAAGGCGGGACACGAAAAACATTTGAAAACCCACAGGAAACCTCTACATTTTGCCTCTCGGAGGCCTCTTGGAGGTCATCTTAGATGCGTCTCAGAAAATATTCGTGGCTTCGTGGGCCGTCAAGAGGCCATCGTGGACGGTCTGGACCGATCAATCGGCGACTCCTGGCTCTCTTGGGGCCGCCCGAGCCGCCAGGAAACGCGTCTGCAAGAATGGTTCCGGACGTCGACCCCGGCTTCCGCCGGCGTCGCCGCCCGTGGCCAGGCCAGATTTCCTGGGGTAACCCCCCCAGACCCCCACAGCGGGATACTGAACCGGAACCCCATCCGCAAGGTCGGGAACAAAGATGCTGGAGAGAAAATCGTCGGAGGTCTGGGGTCGGCGTCGTCGCTGGTCACCGTTGTCGCCGCCCCGCCGTGCTCGCGTGAGCGCCGCGCCGCGCGGCACCGCGTCGCTCGGCCGCCGGGCGGAGGCGGCTGGCCTAGCCGCGTACTGTATCCGCTCGTCGTCCGCCTGCTGGGGAAGCGTGGCGCCGCGGGGTCGCTGGGCGGCCGCGCCGCTGTCCGCTTCTTCCTCCTCCTCCTCCTCCTCCTCCTTCTCCTCCTCCTCCTCCTCCTCCTCCTCTTCCTCCTCTTCCCCTCCTTCTCTTGCTCCCCCTCCTTCTCCTTGTCCTCCTTCCTGCTCGTCCTCGTCCTCCCCCTTCTCCTCATCGTTGACGTCCTCCTCCTCTTCATCCTTCTCCTCCTCCTCCTCTTCTCTCCTCCTCCTCCTCCTCCTCGCCTCCTCCTCGTCCTCCCCTCCTGTTCCTCCTTCTCCCCCCCCTCCTCCTCTTCCCTCGTTCTCCTCCTTCTCCTCGCCTCCTCCTGCTCCTCTGCTCTGCTCCTGCTCCTGCTCCTGCTCCTCCTCCTCCTCCTCCTCCTCCTCGTCCTCCTCCTCCTCCTCCTTCCCCTCAGCCTCCTCTACTCCTTTCCCTCCTTCTCCTGCTTCCTCTCCTTGTCCTGGTCCTTGTCCTCCTGCTCGTCCCCGTCCTCCCCCGTCTCCTTATCGTTATCGTCTTTCTCCTCGTCATCCTTCTCCTCCTCCTCCTCCTCCTCCTCCTCCTCCTCCTCCTCCTCGTCCTCTTCCTCTAATACCAATACACCTCTGCAGCGCGAGTCCCCCTAAGCGGGCACGCCGAAACCAAAACTTACGCGTCGGCTCAGGCCATGACTTTAAATCCTGGGGGGAGTTTCCCATCCTTCAGGGAATTCAGCACTCGCCTGCCCCAAACACTCAAACGGTCGGGTCGGCAGACTTCCCCCAGCTTGATGAATTTCCCCCGCGTCCCCGTTGCCCCGCACATCTGGCACCAGAAAACCCCTTTACAGCAGTCAAGCTTGTGGGTGGGATCGATGCCGTGCTGGACTCGGGCACAGGGGGTTGCAAGCCACTCCAGCTTCCGAAGTCCAGCAGTCGGGCGGGTGTGGCAAAGGGCACATCTGACACCATCCGCGTCCGAAACGACCCGATGGGCCGAACCAGACACCGCCAGCTCAGCCTTGAGCGCCCGCTCCTTGCCCCTGACTTTGGCCTCGGCCGCCCTCGCGGCCTTGGAGCTGGGGCCATAGAGCTCTGGCGCCCTGGATGCAACGTGGAGGGCCACCGCCACGAGCACGAGGTGCTCTTGCACCTTGTGGGTCAGCTCGTCAATCCTGCACACTTCTGCGACCACGTTGCCAGGAAGCTGGGCCCTCCGAGCCCCTTCCTCCGCAGCCACATCCGCGGCCCCGCTGGCGAGCCAAGACAAAACTGGTGGGCCATCCTCCCTCTCTGGGGCAGGGCGGGTGTGGCTCTTGATCTTAATCATGGAGATCCGCCGATCACCCGCCACCGCCCAAAACCTACGCCAGGGGGCAACATTCACAGGGGGCACATAGTTCCTGCCACGCTGGAAGACCCGAATGGTGATGGCCGAGTCTACCGCAAACGTGACATCACCCTGGTGTGGCTCAACGCTTGATTCACTCCTTCTAACTCGGCTAGGGGGACAGTCTGCTTATAGCCTGGCAGGGGCCCGTGGCCCCACCCCAGCTGTCTGTCCCCCCTGATGATGGACAAAAACCCATCCACAGCGCCTCAGCCTGGGCTCCGACGAGTACGGCCCCCCCGACCCGTCCGTCCCGACCACCACATCCCCCCCCCCCTCCTCCTCCTCCTCCTCCTCCTCCTCCTCCTCCTCGTCCTCCTCCTCCTCCTCCTCGTCCTCGCCCTCGTCCTCCGGGAGCGCATGGCTGTGCCGATGCTGGCCTGAAAGCCGTGCGATGGCATCCACGTGAGCCGGCCGGACGCGATCAGCTCCGAGACGTCGCCGTCCAACAGCGTGGCCACGCGCGACCACAGCTGCGCAAGCATGCGCGTGGGCTTCGCAGCCTGCGCCGTGCCAGCTGCGGCGCTTGCGAGGATGGACTGGCAGTTGGTGCGGATGCGGGGTGACACCAGGGCAATGGTGAGCGCGAGCGACACAGCCCACAGCTCAGCCGCCGCCGCTGTGCGAATCCAGGGAGGAGGCACAGCGCTGCCGAAAGCCACAAAATCCCCGCGATCAGACACGACAGCGATTCCGCAGCCAGTACGACGGAGCTCCCAGAGTGGGCCGAACTTCATGGACCCATCTGTGTACCAGATCAGGTCGTCGCGGGTTGCGTCTGGCGGCTCCGTGAACCAGCGCCTGCACTGGCGGGCGCGGCAATCGGAGCGCTAGGAATCCGCGCGTGCGAAGAAGCGCGGCCCGGGCCTCCGAGAGCGAGGGGAGGAAATCCTGGCACGCCTCCGGCGGCTGCGGCCACCCCTCCAGCGGCAACGTGGCCTCGCAGACGCGGCGGTGCAAGAGCGTGCCCAGCGCCGCGCCGCACAGCTGGCAGTTCCGGTCCGCGGCGCTATCGGCGCCCCGCAGGCGGGCGAGGCGGGCCTGGGGCCACTGGCCACCGGTGGCAGCCGATAGCAGCATCGACCTGCATTGCCGGGACCACTGTGGCACAGTGCGGTTCGGCCGGCCCTGGCCCTTCAGCGGGCGCGCAATGGGGCGCCCCACGAGGACCGTGAACGAGTCGGCGCCCTAGGCGGTCGGCGCCAATAGTAGACACCATCTTTCGGCGGTATTCTTTGAGCTGGATTGGTCTGCGAGGGCCCAAGGGGGGGCCCGAGAGAGAGAGAGCGAAAACCATCTGAGTGAAAAACTTGAATTCCTGGGTTTCTGTTTCTTCCCAACCATCCTGTGGTGTTGGGTCTTCGTTTTGAATAGACAGCGCCCCGCGTCTCCATCTTCTCCTCTCCTCTCCTCTCCTCTCCTCTCCTCTCCTCTCCTCTCCTCTCCTCTCCTCTCCTACTCCTCCCCCTTCTCCCTCCTCCCCCTCCTTGCCTCTGCCCTCCGCATGTATCCGTTTCGGCATACCCAATACAGCGCTTCGTGGCCCCATAGGGAGCTCCACCGAAGGCCCCAGTGGCGGGGTTCGCATGCAGTTCCACCCTCATTTCGGCGCCCACCTCACACGGTTCGTGGCCACATGGGGAGCTCCACCGAAGGCCCCAGCGGCAGGATTCGCATGCAGTTCCACCGTCATTTCGGCGCACCCCCCACACGCTTCGTGGCCCCATAGGGAGCTCGACCGAAGGCCCCAGTGGCAGGGTTCGCAGTTCAACCCCGATTTCGGCGCACATCTCACACGGTTCGTGGCCCCATCGGGAGCTCCACCGAAGGCCTCAGTGGCAGGGTTCGCATAAAGTTCCACCCTCATGTCGGCAAACCATCACACGGCTCGTGGCCCCATAGGGAGCTCCATCGAAGGCCCCAGTGACAGGGTTCGCATGCAGATCCACCGTCATTTCGGCGCCCACCTCACACGGTTCGTGGCCCCATAGGGAGCTCCATCGAAGGCCCCAGTGGCAGGGTTCGCATGCAATTCCACCATCATCTCGGCGCACCCCTAACACGGTTCGTGGCCCCATAAGAAGCTCCACAGAATGCCTCAGTGGAAGGTTCGCATGCAATTCCGCCATCATTTCGACGCACCCGTCACACGATTCGTGGCCCCATCGGAATTTCCATCGAAGGGCCTGGAGGCAGCCATCATTTCGGCGCACCCCTCACACGGTTCGTGGCCCCATAGGGAACAGAACAGAACGTCCGATCGAGCGTCCAAGGACGTCTCGTCCCGCTTGCGGGAACGGCGTGAATCATGCAGTGCGGGAAAAACCATGCACGGGTGAGAATCAAAAAGACACCCCTCAAGCCTCAAGGGTATTGCTACCCGGCGGTGTGCATGTATGACAAGTACTCAGTCCGAAATTCATCCGAAAACCTGCCGTGCGCATTGTGCAACTCATGCTCCAGACTGGTGTTGAAACGATCTCGGAAGAACTTGTCGATTGAGTCAGTCCATTTGGTTCTCGGGCGGCCAACTCTGCGGGAGCCTTCTGGGCGCCAGCGCATGGCTAGAGACGGCCACCCGCGCCTCTCGACGCACGTTCTCCTCAGGATGTTCCAGCGTGTTGTATCTATGACTTCGAGCCAGTCAGAAACCTTGTAAATCGACATTGCTCTTTCCACTCTGCGTTTGCATTGATGCCCAGCTTCCTCCCACGATTCGTGATCACCTCTACGAAATCCAACAATCCGTCGTAACATTTGCGCCCGGGCGCTGGCTATTCTTCCTCTTTGCCGTGCGGTCAGCGGTGTCGTGGCAAGACTGTAGACAGCCGTTGGCGTTACGACGCTGTCGAATAACTTCAAGCGCATCTTCAGTGACACCCGCTTGTTGACGAAAACTGTCTTGAACAAGTGCCATTTTGACCATGCGCATTGCGTCCGGTATTCTAAATTGCATGCGCCTCGTTCTCTGAGATCTCCGTGGAAACGCTTCCCCAAGTACTTGTGCATATCAGTTTTCAACATCACTGGAAGACTACAACCGTCACTTTGCAAAACCATTGGTTCCTCAAGAATGGCAATAGCAGGATCGTTCGTGAATATTCTGGTCTTGCTTGCATTCAGCTCTAGACCGCATTGAGACAACTCCTGACGGAGAACCGCGAGCATTTGGGAAACGTCGTCCGGAGAATTGCCGTAGAGAAGTATGTCGTCTGCGTAACGTATGTTGGTCAACATCTCGACTCCTCCAAGATCGAGCCCCATGCCGCGGACGCGGTCTTTGAATCGCCGCAAAGCATGCTCAAGACCAGCGTTGAAGAGAAGCGAACTCAAAACGTCTCCCTGCTTGACCCCCCGGCTGATGTCGAAATGCCTGCTGCCGTGGACGGTTCCGAACTGGCCAGAATACACATCAGACAGTAAACGAAGATATTCTGTATGAGCACCTTGAGAACGAAGGGCTTCGAATAATGCTGGGTGCTCGATTCGATCAAACGCCTTGGTAAGGTCCACGCTGACAATCCAGAGGTTGCGGCCCCACTCCCAACATGTCCCACAAACTTCCTCAAGCACGACAAATGCATCGCCCACCGATTTCCCTTGCCGGAAACCGACCTGATCCGCAGCCTGTTGAGCGTCAAGCGTTGGTTGGATGCGTGCGAAAACGAGTCTGGAAAAGATCTTGTACGTCATTTTGAGCAGAGCGATGGGCCTCCAATTCTTGACGTCCTTCCGTGGGCCGCTCTTCGGAAGCATCGTGAACAGAGTTTCTTTCCAGCTGGGTTCAAGAAGACCTGTTTGAAGCATATGGTTGAAACAACGCAGAAGACACTCCAGAAGCGCATCGCCGCCATGCAAAAACATCTCGAGGGTGATGCCGTTCTTGTCTGCGCACTTGCCCTTCTTCATCTTCCGCAGCGTAGCCTCCAGCTCGACCATTGTGAAAGGCTGGATGTTGTAAGGACCTTTATTGCAATATGTGCGAAGCCAATCTGCACGTGATTCCGGCGAGCCCGTTAAGAAGATGTGCTCCAGCGAACCCCGAAATTCATCTGCAACGATGGGGCATCGTCGGGAATTCTGCACAGGATGCATGTGGACTGCAGGGATGTGCCCGATGCCGGAAAACCTCTTGAGATGTTCAGACACTTTGTTGTCACAGTAGGTGCGCAAGTTCTTCCGGTGCAGCCTGCTGATCATCTTCGACAGACGAGAACGCTCATGCTTGTCGGAGGTACTGCGACGCCTAAGCCGTAAAGCCCGGGTTTCCGGATCTTTCCATGGATGTGGTGCAGCTTCGGCACAATCGCCTCGATCGCATGTCGCTTTGGATATTGCGGCCTCCACGTCGGAAAAGCACTTGACATAAGAAATGTTCAAATTCTGGCGGACGGCATCTTGAAATACATTGTCGCGCCCATCTGGGCCCAGCTGTGGTTTCCACCGCTTGGCCTTCTTACGACGGGAGCCTGGAGCCCTTCTGTGTCCGTCAACCAGCAAGCTCGCCAACACAGCACGGTGATCAGAGCCCATGTCTAGGTGGTTACTCGGTCGGCACTGCGAGTAAACCAAGCCGGAGTCCAGGAGTATAAAATCAATGCGTCGCTTCGCCCCAAGAGAAGAACAGAATGTCCATCGAGTGTTCACGGAGTCGTTGAACGCGTCCTCAACGTTGGCAGCAATCAATGAACTCTCATTTAGAAAATCTCCCAAAACCTCACCCCTGAGACCAACGTCAAATTGAGTGTTGAAGTCCCCTCCGATCACAACTTTGCGGCCCGTGCGCCGCGCCATGTCCATCTCTGTGGACAAGTGCTCGTAGCACGCGAGTAGCTCATCGTGGCCATGGCCAGCATGAGGCATGTACACACTGATTATCGTTAGCATCAAGCTCCCTACATTCACATCGGCAGCAAGTACTCTCCCTCCGTATGCGCGCGTGTCTGCGACAGAATCGGCATGCCTGCGGTGAAACACAATGGCTACTCCTGCAAACTTGTACTCGGACAAAGCAGAGATAAAACGGTGCCCTCCTGACAAATCATGGTCAGATGACTGCGTCCTTGTTTCGGTCAAGCAGACAACGTCCCATTCAACATCAGCGAGCTCGCTCAGCAATTCGGCCTGCCTGTCGGTGGAGTTCACACGCGCGTTCTTTGTGAAAATATTGAATTCGTGTTGAGGGCGCTGTTGGTCCCCAGATCCATCGGTGAATTCTGAATTGATGACGTCGTTGGCGCTCGATCGGTGCTGTCCCTAAGACCTGGCTTGAGAATTGCCCTTGCCCTTCTCCGACCCTTTTCCCTGGCCTTTCACCCGGGATTTTTTAGTAAGTTTTTCCTGAGCGGAGTTGAAGAGATCGTCGAACTTTGGGTCCCGAAGCTCCTGCTGCCAACCATCCCCGAAAGAAAACTCGAGATTATATCCGGAGACCTTGGATGAAATCACTTTCTCGTTCCCGAGGTACAAGGTGGCGTCCTCCCTGTCCACGTATAGTGCGCTTCGGGACCAGCCCCACTCCACCATGAGTTTTTTCACGGAGAACGCGAAAGATTCAGGTAGGCGCCAAGGCAGGGTTCGCATGCAGTTCCACCCTCATTTCGGCGCCCACCTCACACGGTTCGTGGCCCCATAGGGCCCCAGTGACAGGGTTCGCATGCAGATCCACCTTCATTTCGGCGTACCTCTGTCACGGTTCGTGGCCCCATGAGGGGCTCCACCGAAAGCCCCAGTGGCAGGGTTCGCATGCAATTCCACCCTCATTTCGGCGCCCACCTCACACGGTTCGTGGCCCCATAGGGCCCCAGCGGCAGGGTTCGCATGCAGTTCCACCCTCATTTCGGCGCACCCCTCACACGGTTCGTGGCCCCATATGGAGCTCGACCGAAGGCCCCAGCGGCAGGGTTCGCATGCAGTTCCACCCTCATTTCGGCGCCCCTCTCACACGGTTCGTGGCCCCATAGGGAGCTCCATCGAAGGCGCCATTGGCAGGGTTCGCATGCAGTTCCACCCTCACTTCGGCGCCCACCTCACTCGGTTCGTGGCCCCATAGGGCCCCAGTGGCAGGGTTCGCATGCAGTTCCACCCTCATTTCGGCGCGCCCCTCACACGGTTCGTGGCCCCATGAGGGGCTCCACCGAAGGCCCCAGTCGCAGGGTTCGCATGCAGTTCCACCCCAATCTCGGCGCACCCCTCCCCTCACACGCTTCGTGGCCACATAGGGAGCTCTACCGACGGTCCCTGTGGCAAAGTTCGCATGCGGTTCCCCGCCCCATTTCGGCGCACCCCTCACGCGTATGGCCCCACAGAGAGCTCCACCGAAGGCCCCAGTGGCAAGGTTCGCATGGCGGCCCCGCCCCATTTTGGCAAAACCCTCACACGTCCCCACCGAAGGGCCCAGTGGCAGGGTTCGCATGGCGGCCCCGCCCGATTTCGGCACACCCCTCACACAATTCGTGGCCCCATAGGGAGCTCCACCAAAGGCCCCAGTGGCGGGGATCGCATGGCGGCCCCGCCCCTGCGGCACACCCATCACACGTTTCGTGGCCCCATGGGGGACTGGGTGAGAAAAACCGCCTGCGACCCTAAGGCTCGGGGGGGGGGGGGGACCGCATTGCATCGACACCCCAATCGCTCCGTGTCGCCGACGAGCGGCCCGAAAGCCCACCCCGCCCAGGAGCGCGCGGTTCCACGATCGGGGGCACGTCTCGGAGCAGCGCGGGCTGGGGCAGCGGCGCATCAAAATCGGTCCCCGGAGGCCCCCCCCCAGGGTCCACACATAATCGTCCGAGCTGCGTCCAGCCGTGGACACGAGGGCCCCCCCCCCCCGGAACGCCAACTACTCGTCGGCAGGAAGTAGTGGGTAGAAACATGAAATAGGAAGGCGTTGGGAGCAGATCGGGCTTCTGCCCGCCTCCGGAAGAGAAGGCACGAGGGACAACCGCTCAACTCTTGAAGTAGGAAGGCGGCTAAAGTAGATTGGGATCTAGGAATTCCGAAATACCTGCTTCAACGACCGACGGGTACGGTTGTCTCAACTAGCCCTCTTCTGAACATCGCCGATCCGTCAGTGGTGTGTCGCCGATTCCAGCTCGATGTTTCCCGCCTGGGCGCTCGCGGCTCCACCCCAAAAAAAAGTTCTTGACAGCAACTGGCCATAGGCTTCGACCTGGACACCACACTGCTCGAGACGCCGTCCAGCGCTCCGGGGCCGCCCGCAGGGCGGCAAATCTCTGGGTTGGCGGGCCAGGCGCGAGAGAGGAAGGATAACTGGGACAGATCGAGAGCTGAAAGAGCAGCATGAAACAAAACACGGCCTCCCGCAGCCTGGCCGCGCACCAAATCGAAGATAGGACGATAATGATGCCATGATCCGACTTGCTCAGGATGCGTTCCCGAACTTCTGGAGTGCTCAGCGGCCCTCGTTGCTGGAAGCCGTGCGGAACAATAAGAAATGGTGGAAACATCTACTGGAGGTAATCATGCTCATGACATCTTGCTCCTCTGAAAAGGGGTCAGGAGGGGACTCGGCCTCCTCATCCTCCCCCTCACCTCGAGCTTCCTCGGCCCCCGCGCGTCGCGTCACCCGACGCATCTTCTCTAGCCTCAGCTTCCTCATCCACCTCATCCTCCTCAAGCGGGGGAGGCCTGGGAGGAAAAGCAGGGGGGGGGCCCGGAGGGGGGCAGGCATGAGGAGCAGGAGGAGGACGACGACGAAGAGGCAGAGGGGGATGAGGACGAGGAGTTACGGAGTTACGGATATTGCGACTGTGTCGGGAAACGCTGACTGAAGGTGGGCTATTACCCGTCAGAATCTCGACTGGACTTGGCTCTCTTGGCCTTCTCGGATGAGCTGTAGGCTTTGGGCCACTTCCCTACAGAGATATCCTTTAAAGATTGAACGCGATTGCCTGTGGCAGGACCCGTGCACTCGCCTCCCAAGGACGCGAGTTGCTGGGCGGCATGCCCGCCGCATTTGCCACAAAACCAGATCCCCAAAAAAGAGTGATGCTTCAGCTGGTGACTACTATGAGCCCATCCCCCACATATGTGCACCCGATGCCCGTGGGGGAGATCATAAATTACACCATCCACCGAACGCAGATAAAAGCAAGGCGAATCCAGCCAGGTTCGACGAGCAGCCTGGGAGGACGACCCTTTGCAATCAAGACACGAGTTACCTTTCTCAGACAGCCTATGTTGAGAGGAAAACGCAAAACAGATCTGAGGGGCAGGAGGTCTAACTACTGGGTGCCAACAGCGGCCTCTCTTGGGCCCCTCACTAGACAGGTTCTGCTCGGCCTCTAGAGTCTGCAGAGTACTTACAAGGATCCTCATCCGAACCCAGTAAGCCATATGCTCGACCTGGGCCACTCGGGCCCGATCAGCCTCTGAAACTCTACACAGGCTAGCTCCTACCCCCGCAAGGTGATCTACAATAGTATTTCCTGCGACTAACAGGGGGGGGGGAGCGCGGCCAGCAACAATATCTTTGGCCTCAAGGTGAGAGTATACAAATATCACACAGCACTGGATGGACGGCCGACGGCGAAGCTCGGTGCCTCTAGCATACCAGAGATCTCCGTCCTCGCCATCGGGGGAGAAGGGTTTGCCTGCATGCCAACCTTCACAAACGTTAGCATTATCGGTGATATATATGAAATGCCCTGATGCTCCTCGGCACGCTACGAGCAACGCGCACAACCCGCCACGTGCAACGGTCTGCCTCTCGCCAGGAAGTCCTCCCCAAAGAGCTTTGCTGATGGTCATACTTTCGTCGAGGCGGTCGAGGACAGCGAGAGCGACCCCGACCCGTCGAAGCCGAGGTCACGAGTGTCCTCACCGCCGCTCGCATCCCCGAAGATGTATATGGGATCGTGGAGGCTTCCACCTCCCAGGACCTCGGGCTCGAAGGCGTCGATCCCGAACGCGTGCCAACACTCCTGAGCCTGCGGTGGTGCAACTCGAACCCACTCGGCGGGGATGAGCCCCCGCAGCCAGAAACATGGCTCAGCTTGATGCTGGACCATGGCCTTCGTCAACCACTCATCGCTCATGTCATAGATGGGGTGCGGGTTCCTGCCAGAACACACTCCCCGACAACGATGAAAACTATCCTCCTGCTCGGTCTGGCAGCGAGCGCACAGCGACGAAATGGGACCTTAGTCCGCTCCGATCGCCTCGTGCGCGGCCATGCGGCGCCTGCTGCAGCAGCCAGCATGATCCCGAACAACTTGGCCCCGTTGGGCCCGTCGCGCAGCTGCTGGAGGAGGGTGCGGCACTACATGTTGCAAACACCGAACTGAGAGCCCTCGCCATCGAAGTGCTGGGGCGCCTCACGCCACAGCCGAGACTGAACCGTGGAGTCGAACTCCTGCAGGAAGGCCTTCGGGACGTCCAGAGATGGAACCCCCGTCAGCTTGTCCACGTCGAACTCCCAGCCTCCCTCGCCGTCAGCGGCTGGAAGATCCCAGGCAGCTGGTCCGATGGGGTTCCACCCCTCCTGTAGGAGGTAACATATGACCGCGGACTGCGGTCCTCGAGTGTGTCTGCTGCGCTGGGTTGCGGGGATGGCGCGCAGCTGCTGCACCGAGCCACTCCAGGTGCGGGCGACGCCCGCTCGCATGGGCGGCTCCGACGTCCAGCAGCGCAGCCACAACTGAAGGCACTCCCTCGGCATCTTCATGACAGGATCCCTACCAGGGGCGATCAGGTCCAAGAGGGTGGTGCTGCATCGCCCTGAAAGCCGTGGAGCAACCGCCTCGCACATGTAAGGTCGCATGGTCTGCAAGCGTCGGCCGAACACGCCATGCAGCTGGTGCCCGTAGGCCCCTGCCGCCAGCGCCCCCTGCTGCCCCAGCTTCGAGGTCAGCTTGTACCTGCGAGCTGTACGTGCGCACTGCGCAACCTTGCGATGCATTCGCTTATGCTTCTGATCCCTGCCAACCCGAACAGTACGAGCGTGAGAGTGACAACCTCCAAAATCGCCACCCAAGTACGCTGCCTGTGCTGCCGCTCGAAGATGATAACCGTGCTGTCGAACTCGTCGCACAATGGCCCGTGCATCTGCTAGCTTCGAACAAACCACACCACTCTTGGTGGCTATGGTCAAACCGTGCTCCTCCATCTGCTCAAACGTCGTGATGAGACAGGCCGAAAGATGAGAAACGACAGCTCGACGGGAACCACGAACAACCTGACTCAAATCATCTATCCACAGGCGGTGTGACACGCCGATGTGAGTAGACGTAATCCGCTGCATGATGAAAAAAAGTGATGATTTTCGCAAACCTTGTGCCTGCTCGCAACCCCTGCACAATCGAACGTGTAGGTGCAAAGGGAGCCGAGTAGGCGCCTGATTGTCTCAGGCACCTCATCGCCATGCACATGAGGAGCTCGAGGCCGAGGATCTCGGGGGGAAATCCCAGGCGTAGCGCCGCCAGTGCTAGCCTCTTCCATCCTATCGAGTCGTAAAAGCTGGCGGTGTCCAGCAGCCCGTGGCCATGGGCGACGCCCAAGCGGGCCGCTAGCTCCTCGTCCACCACACGGAGGAAGGCTTCCTGGATGGCAGCGTTCCTCTTGATCGCCGCGTCCCACGGCGCCTCGCATTCCTCGGCCCAGCTCTGCACCCACGGTTCCCTGGCCTTGGACCAAAGCCGCGAGAGGTGAGGTAGCAAGCCGATCACCCTGTCGCCCGTGACCTTCTTGGGCAAGAGGGTGCCGATGGTGAGCAATAACTGATGTGGCCAGCACTGGAAGATTTCGCACGTGTTCAAGATCGCCGCCAGCTCGTCGAGAGCGACGAGAGGAAGACGATCCAGGTCGCATGCAGGCAGCCTGTCGACACCCATGGCGGCGTTAGGCTTGAGCTGTCTGCCCGCGGACTTTAGCTCCCCAGCGGTGAGGTCTGGCAACCGTTCCTCTTGAACACGCTCGCGAATCTGTTCGAAGATGCCCTCGAGCTCGCCCTGGGAATCCTGCTCAGGTGGACTCCAGATCTTCTCCCAGTGCAGCCGTTTCACGTCCAAGATGTCCTTGGGATGTAAAATGGTGTGCCCTTCCTGTTCCAAAACAACTGGTGCTGACGGCTGCTCCCTGATCGCTCGATGCAAACAAGATACTGCCGCCTGCGTCTCCATCCATTCACGAAGCTCTGCAATTGACTGATTGATGGCTCGTGCCTGGCTCCTCCTCGCAACAAGCTCGCTTTGAGTAGCTGCGTCGCGCAACTTGCCCTCGCCAGAATCTCGGAGTGCGCCAAGCAGCTGCAACCATTGACTCCATGAAAATTGATCTCCTGGCCTGATGCACTTGTGCCCCTGCTCGGGGGCTGAAGCTCGCAAATCGACTCCTGCTGCTACAAGGGTGACCTGCTGCTTCTCTCCATTACCTCGAAGTTGGTGCCCACGATACTGAGAGATAACTGTGTGTGCTCGTGTCCACCACCCACTGATGACGTCACGAAGGGCACTGACTCTGGCTGGCGTCGCCTCCAGAACAACATCAGTGCGAAAATTGGGCGAATCAGCTCGTGTTCGTCCAAGAGGGACCTGAGAGTGGTGGGCGGCCAGGGCGCACTCCAAGGTGCGCGCCCATGCGGCGCACAGGCCGCTGATGAAATCACAATGGCTGGAGCCAACACGAAAGGCTACGGAGGCAGCAACAGCATCAGCAGGGGGGTGAGCCCCCGATGGGACGAAGCCGATGGCGCTCCTCTGTTCCCTCCAGAGACTCTCGGCAACCTCGAAAGGGACAGGGGGCTCACCCTCGCTAGTGCATGGTGGCTCGCTCTCGTCTCGACCAGGCTGCCCGTTTGAAACCGAACCGCTCTCTGGACTCTCCGCTGAGGATGATGTCTCCCTGGGCTTCGAATCGGGGCTAGTGGGTTCAGGGCTCTTGACTTGACTGTCTGACTGACTGTCTGACTGAAACTGAAGCGGAGAGGAGGCAGCAGCAAAAGAGAGCGTCGGGTCGAAGCCGAAGTTGGGCTCGTCCACGGGTCGTCTTCCGACTCGAAGCCCAGGTCGTCACCATCCTCGGCGCCGCCGCTACCTGTAGTAGCTTCGCTGATGGGAACCTGGGCTGCTGACGCTGTCTCGCTGTTGCACTCTTCATTTTGCTTCTCAGAAACAGGGAACCATTCACGAATTTTGTCGTGCCTACGCTGGCGAGCTGCTTGTTTACAAACGCGAAGCTGTGCCTTGGCTATGCTACTCTTGGACCCCTCAACTGGCTGCTGCCGTGGCCTGGGGACCGAGGGCAGCCGAGGGGGTAAATCAAGATATCTAGTGTAAAGCTGAGACCCTTGGGCAACTAGTTCCAAAGAGAGGCCTACATGGGGCTTCCACGGAACGTCAACAACTGCAGTGAGGCCTCTGATGTACGGTTTTGCGGCCTCAGAACATACCACATAATCCAGGTGCGACGGCTTGTGCTCGCTATTCGTGGGCGTGCAAGTGTACTCGATATCGGACCGAAGAATTGTCCCTCCGATCCTCTCCAACAAACCTGTCCTATACAAATCTGGGGGAGACAAGTTCCAGTCTCCTATTGCAATCCATGGCAGCTGAAGCGCGGCGAGAAGACTTCCTATCCTGCGGAAGCGCGCCGCGTTAGCCTGACCAAAACCTACGCCAGAGTGACCGTATACAATACACAAGATTATTGAGAAGCCGCTCATGTGCAGTTGGCATGGCAGGAAGCCGTCGAACATGCCTCCTCTATCCGCCCTGAGCCCCTTGGCCGCTCGCGCAGCGTCCAGGACTTGGACGGGTCGGTGGTTCTTGGTCAAGAGCCACTCGCCTCCCTCGTTGGCCCGCCCCTCCTGGGAGGCGCTGACCTTCTTCGACTTGGGCCTCGCTCCGTTGGTGAACAGCTTGAGTGCCCGCCCCCGAGCTTTAGCTGTCCACTTGGCAACGTCACCAGACCGAACTGAGACTCGACCACCGCCAGGTAGTCGTGGGATTTGGACTGAGAACACAACTACTCCCAAGCTTTGTCTCCCATGCAAGTCACATTCCCGCAAAAGACTCGTGTCGTACCCGACGGAGTCGTCCCCGTAGACGGCGTGGATGCTGAAGATGCCGAACTTGTACTGGTAGATGGGCCGCTCGACGGCACCGGTGTGCTCGGGCTCCCTGGCCCTAGTCACAGCTCCTCATCTTCGCCGCCGACCGCTGTCCGCACGGCAGCGTTGTCCCCGCCGCTGCCAGTGGCCGTCGACCCACCCTTGCCACCCGAAGGGCCTTTGGGGCTGGCGCCGCCCGAAGGGCCACCGCTGGTGACGGCCTGGGCAGCGGCGAAGCGCGCCGCGGACAGCCTGGCGGCCTCCTTCTTCAACTGCGCCTCCTCATCCTTGGCGGGGTCTGACTTGACACCGCCGCCAGGTTTCACCTCCGTGGCCGCGTTCGCCTGCTTGATCTTGGCGGCGTCGGCCTCGGCGGTCTGCTGCTGGGGCCCCTCGCCGCCGTCGACATGCTGCTCCTGAGGTGGCATCGGCTTGTCAGTGACGGTGGCCTCGACGCCCTCCTGCTGGCAGCGCCTCTTCTTCGACATCCGCTCAGTGACCTCCTTTTCCACCTGCGCCACGCGCTCGAGGAAGGACTTGAGCTCGCTGTCTTTGGTGGCGAACTCCTTCTGATACCCTTGCAACTGCGCTTTGAGGACGCGCAGCTGCTCTTTGTCGCTCTCCTCGCACTCCCAATCCTCGAACGTGTCGAAGATCTCGCTGTTGATCCGCACCTCGAAGGCTGGCTCGCCCTTGCCCTCCTTCACGGGTGCTCCTGCTAATCCTTCTGCGCTCGCAAGCGCCTGGGCTGCTTTCTTCTTCGCAGCCTCCGCCTTTGCTAACTCGATAGCAGCAGCTTGTTCTTTACTCTCTGCATTCTGCAGCTGCGTCCGCAGCCGCAAGACCTGGGTGACGAGCTGCTCGTGGCGATGCCCCGCAGCTCGCCACGCACCGTCCGCCTGGCGGACGAGCTCGGCAGCGGACTGGGTGGAGCCCGTCTCGCCGCGCTCCGCCAACTTCTGACTCTGTGCGATCAGGACCTGGCGCATCTCCTCGTTATCAGCGGCCTGAGCTGCTTGGTTAAGAAGATCGGCGAACTGCTGCTGTTTCTCGCGCTCCTTAGATGCCGCACGCCGTGATGCACGAGACCTGCCAGCACTTTCACCTTTACTACTGGGGACCGTGCTCACGTCGATAACCTCTGCGCTGTCCTCGAAAGATACTCGTTTATCGCTGAGGGCTGGGGAAAATGAACGTGGGCGGAAGAGTCGGATCTTCTTGCCGCAGTGCCCGCACGAGGAGGAGGAGGAAGAGGAGGAGGAGGAGAACCAGTGCAAACCCAAGATTCATCAATGATGTTGGAATTTACCATCCCTCCAAGCTCCCTCTTCACTGGCCCCTAGAAGGGTTGATTTCCACTGAGGGGCGTGCCCCGTTGGGAGACAGCTGCTTGAATATCATGAAGCGTGCCAAAGCACCATGTTCCCATGACTGCAGCGCCACGAGTCAACCATATTCTTGCGTGTTTACGATCCTCTGAAGCGTGCCACAACATGATTCCTGGGAGTTGACCACCGCGAATGAGCGTAACTGGTGTGATGCGTTGACGATGAGAAACAATGAAGCTCTTGCAAATGTTGGAACGAATATGCGCGGCACTAGAAAAAAAAACCACATTTTGAAAACGAATCGCCCTCAATCCGTGACACTCTCCCGAATGTTTGAAGCGGATGTGCGCGACGCTGGGGCGATAACCAAATTTTGAAAACGAACCGCCTTCAATCCGTGACACACTTCTACACATGATTAAAACGAATGCGCGCGGCGCTGAGGCGAGAACCATATTTTGAAAACCACCCACCCTCAATTCGTGAAACATTTGCAACTGTTTATTTAAAGCAAATATGCGCGGCGCTAAAGCAAGAACCACATGTTGAAAACCACCCGCCCTCAATCCGTGAACAAGTGTTGCAAATGTTTGAACCTAATGCGCGCGGCGCTCAAGCGACAACCAAAATTTGAAAACGAACCGCCCTCAATCAGCGACACTGTTGCACATGTTTAAAAACAGATGTGCGCGGCGCTCAGGGGAGAGACACATGTTGGAAGCGGCCCGCCCTCCATCGGTGAAGCTATTGCCAGCTTTAAGCTTGAGGCTCAGAAATGGTAAGGGATCCTCGAGCGAAATGCCCTGCCCCCCTTCCGACTGGCCTCGGGGCGCGACAGGGAGGAGTTATTCAGAAGGAACAGGAATGGAGGAGGAGGACGAGGAGAAGGAGAAGGAGGAGAGGGTTGGAGAGGGGAGGTGGGAAGGGGGAGGAGGGTGGATGAGAAGGTGGACAGAATAGGAGCAAGAGGCGGAGGCTTTCCCACTCGTAAGGATTTCTGCTGTCTGCGCAAGCCTCGGTAGCTCCCGCTGGGTGGCGCTCGTGTCTTCTTTCGGCCTCCAGAAGGGCGTCCCGACACTTTGCCACTTGCGCCACTAGCGGAGCTAATCTGAGTCTGAGTCGTCCTGTCCACGGCCGGCTGGAGGGAGGAGAGGAGCATTGTCCTCATCTTTGATGGGCCTGTTTTCCACCACCACCACCACCAGAAGTTGGATGGGGAGGGGGTCCTCCTCCTCCTCCTCCTCCTCCTCCTACACCACCTCCTCCACCTCCTTCCCTCCCCCAACTTATGGTGGTAGTGGAAAGCAGGCCCATCAGACTGGAGGGAGGAGAGGAGCATTGCCCTCATCTTCTCTGAGAGCCTCGGCCAGATGCGCGGGCGAGATGCGTCGCTCGGTCTCGCAGCCGAGGGAGGCGCAGGCGCGGGAGGGACACCCGGCGGCGGCATCGAAGAGCGCTCGTTCGCGCGTCTCCGCCGCTCCATCTGAGCCGCCTGCGTAGCAGCGGTGTTGTGCCGCTGGGGGCCCTCGACCATGGCAGCAGCTATCGGCTTATCCGTAGGATGGCGTCCAAAGAGGAATCTGTTCAGGGTGTATGTCCTGCCTCCGTTCTCGGGTGGAAGGAGGCCCTGGACAACGTGAGGCCAACCTATCCGCAACAAATTGAAAGTAAAAGCCGCAGCGCTGACAAAAGAGCAAATCGGAGCATCAGGCGTGCTCGCAACTGGCATCGGGTGAATCGTGTGAATCATCTAAGGCCTTGCCAGAAGCTGAGCACAAAGGCTGGCAACTCTCGCGCTCTCGAGCAGCGGCGGCCTTCGAAGTTCTGGCAAGAGCGGAGACGGTACCGGACAGCGGAGCATTTCCAACTCGTGCGTGACGAGGCACGGTGGATTCTCCCTGGGCAGCTTCGTTCTCCAGCGCCGATGATGGTTCCTCTGGACCGGCACGAGAAAGCGAGGCGCGCACAGTCCTTTAAGAGTTCGTTTGCGGCCGTGTGATCGAAAGAGACATGGCACTGTATACAAGTGTCTCTTTGGCAAGCCTGTCGGCTGACTGGTTACTTTCTGCGGCAAGCCTGGCTTATCTAGCCATGGAAGAAGGGACCTGGTGATGCTATATTTTCTTGCATCTGTCAAAAACCGCCGACTGTCTGATGCTAGAGCGAGTTCATGCGGCCCAGAACAGTTCAGCTTGCCGCTTAAACGCTGAGGGAGCAGCTTGGCAGACTGATCTAAAACAGCTGTACAATCGACCCAGGTTTTGGAGGGCTCCTTAAGGGCTTCTTGGAGGACCAGGAGCCCCACATGTTCACCAGCCTCGGGGTCTGCGGGAGATGGGCCCCGACGGCCCCCAAAAAGGAGGCTCCGAGGACCCCGTCGCTGTTGCACGCCACCATAGACCGCGAGGCCCTATTTCATTCGGGAGTGCCGAACATGGTGCAAGACCCATCCGTGCTCGTGAGTCCCCCGAAAGTGTGAACTGTGTCTGGCTGACTGTCGTAACGTTTGAACCCGACTGTGGGCTCTTCTGCGGGTAGCGGAACGCTATCACGTTGCTCACCAGGGTGCCGGAATGCACCGAAGCAGAAGAGCGGGCTGTTGGCTGGCGCCCCGAGCGCGGCCTGGAGCACATCTGGCGGGAGCAACTCGGTCCTGAGGGCAACGGCCCCCGGGTGTTGACAACAATGTAACCTACGGTGGATCGTGTCACTGCTGTCCTCGCAGAGGGGGCACTTGTTGGGCGCGTTATATCCCAACTGACTAAGTTGATCACCCGTCCACCACCCTTGCACCACAAGCGTCTGCACGATAGTTTTACACCTAGGACAAAATTGCATGCTCTTCGGGGAGAGCAGAGCACGCCTACTGTCGAAACAAACCCTTTAAGGGGGGTGGGGCCAGGGAGAGATTCAGCAGCTGTCATTTCCCATCTCCACTGGCAGCCTTGCTGCAAGAGGTCGCTGAACAAGGCCAGCCTGGTATAAGTTAGCTTGACCGTTCTGCCGAAGTGGTCCAGCAGAGTGAAGGCCGAGGTGGAGAGACTGGCCGACTGGTCGACTGGAGAGTGTCCAGCAGACTGGCCGACTAGCCGACTAGCCGACTAGAGTCGGCCGACTGGAGAGCGGTCCAGCAGAGTGAAGGCGGGGAGGAGGAGACTGGCCGACTGGCCGGCTGGCTGACTGGCCGACTCCCCGACTGGGCGACTGGCCAGCTCCCCGACTGGCCGACTGGCCAACTGGGCGACTGGGCGACTGGGCGACTGGCTGGCCAACCGACTGGCCGACTGGCCAACCGGCCGACTGGCCGATTCCCCGACTGGCCGACGGGCCGACTCCCCGACTGGCCGACTGGCCGACCGGCCGACTGGCCGACTGGCCGACTGGCCGACTGGACGACTGGCCGACTGGCCGTCTGGACATCTGGCCGACTGGCCGACTGGCCGATTGGCCGACTGGCGACCGGCCGACTGACCGACCGGCCGACTGGGGGATTGGGACCAGGAAAGGAAGGATGAGACGGAGGAAGAGGAAGAGGAGGGAGGAAGAGTGGGAGAGGGAGGAAGCGGAGACGAACAGAGTGAGCGGAGGAGGATGAGTGAGAGGTGGGGGGGACGCCCGCGAGGCCCCGAGGGCCGCCCCTGTGATACCTCTGTGGTCCCCTGAGGCCTTGTCCACGAAGGAGACGGCCACGAAGAGGCCGCACCCGATCTCGTCCCACGAGGCCCCGAACTCGTCCACCATCAACTTCGCCTTGGCGAAACGCAGGGGCGGCTCGGGGCCCCCTCGTGCCAGGGGGTGTCACGGGCAAAAGCGCGACTTGCGGAATTTCCACAGAGCCAGTCATGACAAATCTTGTGAGGCCATTATCATCTGTTGCAGACCAGTCCACAGGCAAAATTGACCCCCTCGTGAGAAAGAATGGCTTTATGATCCAATCAATCTTTGCTTCCTATAATTAAGAAAACTCAATAGCGGAGCAAGTTCAATATCTGCTGATTCTTTGTTGTTGGTCTCATTCCCAAATCTGTGGCGGACGGAATAACCCCGCCTGAACCTTTTATAGGCAGACACGACAAATACACCCGAGGGCCGTGTCTGGCCTCGAGGGGACCACACGCTGCCCAGGGACTACACAAAATTGTCCCTGGGGACGGGAGGGGGCGACAACTGAACGGGGCCAACGAACACGCAAATAAATCGACACACATCCCAAGATATCCGGTGTTCATCCATAATTTCGGGATGTTCGTCTTTCCCCCGCACTTCCCATATGTTCGCGTACATTCAGAGGAATCGGCGATGATCTACGTCACGCCGCCATACCCACTAGCCCCGGAGGTTCTCCGTGGCCGACTCCCAAAATGGTTGATAACATCACGACCTCGAGGCACTGGCGAACCTGCCCGCACGCGCACACATGCACACTGACCTGAATGCGGAGCGACAAGCGCTCAAAGCGATCGAAACACGATGCAGAAGTGAAGCCATGTCGAAGAATCGCAACAAGTGTATCTTAGCTATAATCTGCTGGGCAGGGCTCCACTTCGCGGTTTTGTGCTTCGTTCCTGGCGAGTGTGATCGCCGATTGCCTGCGATACGGCGTGCTGTGCAACCTCGAACAGACATGCACGCTCGCAGAGCACGCTGTGAAGTTTGAGAGCCCCCTCGCTTGGACCATCTTCGTACACAACGAAACGAAGCTGCAACCCATGCTGGTAACAGGACACCTTATGATGCGACATTTAGCGGCACGTCTACAAACCATCGAAGGTGGCCCAGGTGTTCCTGGAGCATTTACACACACATCTATATATACATGTATATATATATATACATACATATATATGTGTATACACAGTGTAAGGCATGCCAGGAGCTCTGGGAGCCCTCACGACGCACTGGAACTGGCCATATCTACCAGGAAGCTGGAAACATACTTACATGGCTGGATTCACATGCGGAGGATGTGGAGGCCGCGCGGTAGATATACACATGCGGAAGGCTGGTGGGCACTGCCATAAAAAGGGCCGAGCGCTAGAAGACATGCGGCCAGCTGTATATCCAGCTCTCGCCCAGGCTGGACGCGTCACGTGTACCCAGCTTCCTGGCATGGTAGACGACCTTCCCGGAGCGCATGTTACAATTCACTGCCTTGCTCGCCGCATTGGCTGCACATCCAAAGAACGGATGCGAAAAAGAAGCACCGCGGGACGACAGACCGCTCTCCCTGACGTCTCACTCCTCCGCCTCCACCTCCTCCGCCTCCGACTCTTCCCCACTGCTTGTCCTTCCCTACCCTCCCCACGCTGCTTCTCTTCTCCGCCATTCTGTTCCCCCTCGTTGTCCTCGTCCTGTTTCTGTTCCTCCCCTTCACCGTCGTGGTAATCGTCATCGTCATCGTCAACTAACCACACCAGCAGCTCAGCATCGATAGCGATTTGAGCCCAGCCTAGGGCTCAATGGAGGAGAACAGGAGAGGCGTCGGCAATGGTGGTCAGATGATGATGACCCCCTTTGCCGCAGACATGCTGGCCACTGGCCGGTCCTCCGAGCCTTCTTCCACTCGCAGAGGCCTTCGCCGCCCTGGCAAGTCCTCCGGAAGAAAAGGCGGGAGGGACCTCTGTATGGTCCCCAGGGAGGGCCAGCTTGACCCAGAAAGGCATGAGCCCCCGCGGGGGGGGGGGAGAGAGGGGGGGGAAAGACGGGCAAAAACCAGCAGGAGCCAAGAGACGAAAGCACTAACCGATCCGGGGGTGCGGTGAGCCATACGTGTACTCAAACATCCTCGCTAACCACACCAGCAGCTCAGCATCGGTAGCGATTTGAGTCCAGCCAAGGGCTCAAGGGAAGAGAACAGGAGAGGCATCGGCAATGATGGTCAGATGATGATGACCCCCTTTGCTGCAGCCGTGCCGGCCACTGGCCGGTCCTCCGAATCCTTTGCCGCTCGCAGAGACCTTCGCCGCCCCCTGCCTCTCACCCGCTGGCGCGCGCCTCGCGCGCCAGGCGGGGGCCAGGCGGGCTGCGCTGTGCCTCCGGCCAGCGCCAACGCCCTCGCGCCTGGCACCCCGCGGGGGTGCGCTGGCGCCGCGGGAGGGGACAGCTGTCCTGCCGCCCGCCTCCGGCGTCCTGCGGGCCGACGCTGGCGCTCTGAGAGCGCGCCGAACCCAACCTGTGCCGCCGGCCGCTGGCGCGCCACGCCACCGGCAGCTGCGTGCTGCGGGCCGGCGCTGCTGCCTGAGCGCCTGGTCCATGTCTGTTGCCGGTCCGCACGCCCGCGCGAGCCCGGCGCTACCCCTGCTGCCGCGCGGCTCCTCAGCCGGCGGTACGCCTCCAGCGCCAGCTGTATGGCCACTGCTGGCGCTCTGCATGGGAACGCGCCAAGCGGCAGCCGACCTGCCGCCGGCAGCTGGCGCCCCACGCGCCTCGCTGCCCGCCGCTGCGCGCTGTGGGCCGGCGCCGCTGCCCGCGCCTGGCCCCTGCCTCTCGCCGGCGCGCGCGAGCTCCAGCGCGCGCCCGCACCTGCCTGCGCCCGGCTCCCCAGCCAGCGGCTCACAGCACTCCTCGCGCCCGGCTCCGCGCCGGCGCAGTGGCCGCTCAAGGCCCCTGGGCCCACGCGGCCATTGCGAGGGCACCCTTCTTCACTAACGGAGCTCTTGCTGGGGGCACGCTGGCCCCCGCGTCACATCGAAGCCCCGGTGGAAGCCCTGGCGCCAGCGCGCCTACCTCCTCTGTGCCACGCTGTAATGCACGGGCCACTGCGCCCCTGCATCGCAATGGGTTCGCCGACTCAGCCGCGCGCGCCACCTCCTCAAGTCGGGCCCGCATGCGGGGATGATGTCCTCGTGGCGGAGGTAGCGCTTCGCTTGCTCCCGAATCCGTTCCCGGGCCCGCTCGGGGCTGACCCGGGCGGCCAGGGCCACCCGACGGAACGCCTCCTCATGGTGCCCCGCCTCGGTCCAACACTGCAGGAAGCGGGAAGCGGCCCAGCTCCAGCGAGGCGGAATCCGACGTCGGGGGCCCTCTGGCCCGTCGCTCCGCACGAGCGGCGCGCCCGAGCCTCGGGAGGCCCTCCCGAGTCGCAGGCGCATGCTCGGGCCACTCCTCCTGGCGGAAGGCCCGCTGGGTAAAGAAATCCCCAACGGCCCTCCCTTGGGCCCCTGGCCCCGCGCTTGGCTCCCCCAGGGGAAGGCGCGCGTAGGCGCGCGGCTTTAGCAGTCCAGAAGCCCAGAGGCCTTGGGATTGCTAAAATGGACGGCCGATTCAACATACACGCGCCACGCTTGTAAATAAGAAGCGAACGCTGAACATTGGACGTGGGTCTTATCATAGAGTTTGAGTCTTATAAGAGGATTTCGCTGCTTATTTCAGGACTTGTACATGCGTCTGAACATCTTGCGATATGGCAATGTCGCAGGAACGCGCTGCGTCCGCGGCGCTGCGTTTCTGTCGAATTACTCTGCATCGCGCGCGTTGCCCGCGGTAAACAATATAGCAGGCATCGGCATGTGTACAAATAGAGAAAGAGAAACATGGATAACGAGACATAAAGGGAGAGAGAGAGAGAGAGAGAGAGAGAGAGAGGCGGAGAGATGGAGGGAGAGAGGGAGAGAGAGAGAGAAGAAGAAAAAAGAGAGAGAGAGAGAGAGAGAGAGAGCGAGAAAAAAAAAACGAAAGAGAGAGAGAGAGAGAGCGATATCGAGCGAGAGAGAGAGAGAGGAGGGGGAGGTTGGGGGGGGGGCGGAGGGAGGAGGTATGGCGAGGAGGAGGAGGAGGTGGAGGCGGAGGAGGAAGAGGAACGTCTGGGCAGGGCGGATATAAAGTGCCACCGCCCGCCACTCGTCGCGCCGCAACGACGAGACGAACGAGAGGGCGAATAAAAATAATACGAATAATAACCATACGAATACCAATACTGATACTAAAAAGAACAATAATAATAAAAATAATAGTAAAAATAATAGTAGTAATAATAATAATAACAATTAGAACAACAGCAGC